TATTTTTTTTGCATAAATCTTTTTTGCATAAATCTTTTGCATAGATTTGCATAAATCTATGTTTATGCATACAAATAACCAAAGAACTACATATAAAACAGTGATGACTTTTCAGGAGTGAGTTCTATTAGATTTATTCCTTTATACTGAACTGGAAAAAACTTAAGACAGATAACAAAGCTCAGTATTGTTGAAGGTGATCAGAAATGGGTCTTAGTGTTGTTGGAAATATAAATTGCCATAACCATCTGGGTGGAAATTTGGCGATTCATTATTCAACACATAATTGTTATGCATACAAATTAAAATTTAAAATGAGCATGCTTTAAAATGAGCATAATCGCTTTTATATAACAACTGAGCTTCTAAGAATGTAACCCAAGGAGAAAGAAAAGCTTTGATAAAAAAAATCATGTGCATAAGAACGATTACCACAAGAAGTAAAAATAATAGTAAGAGTTAGAAAAGTTATAAGATATAAGAGCATAATACAGAATAAATTAGATTTATATTTACCAGAATAGATAATTCAAACTTATAATTTTAAAAGTTGCTATTTAAGATAGCAAAAATTATAGTGTCTAAAATATTAGTGTGAAATATTTTTGATAAAATGAGGAGACGTTACTGAAAGGCATCGCAGAATACCAAAAGAGAGATAGATATACCATATTCAAGGATGGTTCAAAAGGGAAATTATGGAAAAAAATCTTACATTTCTTCATTTATAAATGCATATACTTAGTGATATTTCTATCAAAATTCTAAAGATATTTTCTTTTCTTTACTTTCATTTGTGTCAAATGACAAGCTGCCTCTAAATTTTATATGAAAGAGCAAAGCTCTAGTAATCACCAAGACAATCTTAAAGGGGGGGGCAAAGTTATGGAACCTATGTGATATCACAATTGATTACATACCTATAGTAATTAAGGCAGCAGGATATTATCATTGGGATAAACAAATTGGCAGTGAAAAGAATGATCAGGCCAGTTACAGAGCTACACAAATGTGGAAACTCAGTTATGACTGAGGAGGTATTTCAAATTACTGGGAAAATAAAATATTTGATTATGATAGACAACTGATTATCCATTTGGAAAAAAATGTTAAAATAAACATAAAATGTACAAAAATTCCATTCTGGGTTAAAGAAAAACCTTAATTTTAAAAAGAAAATTAGTCTTTACTACTTTTTTTAAGAAAGCAGAAAAGAACAGATTTCTGAGCTTATGAATGGTTGAGACTTCATAAAGTCATGAAAAGTGCACATAGCTTTGTTAATGATGCAAAGATAGAGCTATATTAAAAATAAATTACCTGCTCAGAAATGACCCATTAAAAAGCAAACAAGAGGAAAGATGTTCACAACTCATTTAATACTGCTGCACTAGACCTAGACACATCGCTAAAGGCAAGGGAAGCAAAGGCAAAAAGGAACTATTGGGACTTTATCAAGATAAAAAGCTTTTGCACAGCAAAGGAAACAGTCAACAAAACCAAAAGACAACCGACAGAATGGGAGAAGATATTTGCAAATGACATATCAGATAAAGGGCTAGTATCCAAAATCTATAAAGAACTTATCAAACTCAACACCCAAAGAACAAATAATCCAATCAAGAAATGGGCAGAAGACATGAACAGACATTTTTCCAAAGAAGACATCCAAATGGCCCACAGACACATGAAAAAGTGCTCAACATCGCTTGGCATCAGGGAAATCCAAATTAAAACCTCACACCAGTCAGAATGGCTAAAATGAACAAGTCAGGAAAGGACAGATGTTGGCGAGGATGCGGAGAAAGGGGAACCCTCCTACACTGTTGGTGGGAATGCAAGCTGGTGCAGCCACTCTGGAAAACAGTACGGAGGTTCCTCAAAAAGTTGAAAATAGAGCGACCATTCGACCCAGCAATTGCACTACTGGGTATTTACCCCAAAGATACAAATGTAGGGATCCGAAGGGCTACGTGCACCCCAATGTTTCTAGTAGCAATGTCCACAATAGCCAAACTATGGAAAGAGCCAAGATGTCCATCAACAGATGAATGGATAAAGAAGAAGTGGTATATATATATACAATGGAATATTACGCAGCCATCAAAAAACCCGAGTTCTTGCCATTTGCAACAATGTGGATGGAACTAGAGGGTATTACGATGAGCGAAATAAGTCAATCAGAGAAAGACATGTATCATATGACCTCACTGATATGAGGAATTCTTAATCTCAGGAAACAAACTGAGGGTTGCTGGAGTGGTGGGGGGTGGGAGGGATGGGGTGGCTGGGTGATAGACATTGGGGAGGGTGTTGCTATGGTGAGCGTTGTGAATTGTGTAAGACTGTTGAATCACAGACCTGTACCTCTGAAACAAATAATACATTATATGTTATAAAGAAGAAGAAGAAGAAGAAGAAGGAGGAGGAGGAGGAGGAGGAGGAGGAGGAGGAGGAGAAGGAGAAGGAGAAGGAGAAGAAAAGAAGAAGAAGAAGAAGAAGAAGAAGAAGAAGAAGAAGAAGAAGAAGAAGAAGAAGAAGAAGAAGAAGAAGAAGAAGAAGAAGAAGAAGAAGATAGTAGGAAGGGAAAAAATGAAGGGGGGGGGAATTGGAGGGGGAGAAAATCCATGAGAGACTATGGACACTGAGAAACAAACTGAGGGTTCTAGAGGGAAGGGGGTGGGGGGATGGGTTAGCCTGGTGATGGGTATTAAAGAGAGCACATATTGAATGGAGCACTGGGTGTTATACACAAACAATGAATCATGGAATACTACATCAAAAACAAATGATGTAATGTATGGTGATTAACATAACATAATAAAATAAAATTTTAAAAGATGCTGCACTAGAAACCAGAATATGTGAAGAACTTACAGATCCTAACAAAAAGAGGCAAATAGAAATTTTTTTAAAAAGAACAAATAATTCATAGAAAAGTAAACAAAAATGATCAACAAACATGAAAAGATGGTCATGATTATTACTAAGCAGGAAACACATAAAAAAAGTACAAGGGAATATCAATTAACATACATCAAATGGCAGTTACTTAAGTTTAGCAACAATGTACAGAAAGAGTGATTCTTATAAACCATAAGTGGAAACAGAAATTGACAAGAGCAAATTGGAGGGATGGGAATGATCGAAAATTCAACGCTTCCACTTATAGATGATTAACTTGGAGATCCTCTCCAACACATACGCAAGCACACACACACAAATATCCCCAAAACTGCAATATTTATAGGGCAAGTAGTGCAAACAACTTGAATGCACATCCCAAAGAGACAGGATATCAAAATCACACTGTGCTCGTAAGATGGATACTATAAGGTTGTAAAAATGAATAAATGACAGCTACACAGATCAACTTGAATAATATACAAAAATAATGTTTAAAGAAGAGAGCAAGTTGCAGATGAGAACCTCAAGTATGATGCCATTTCTACAAAACTGAAACCACACACACTATAATATTGAACGTATCAGGATTACCAGCATGGAATAAAACATGAAGGAATATATTAAAATTTTGGCTTAAACCAGGTTGATTGTAATCATTAAATTAACATTTGGGAGTAAAGAAAGGAAGTTGGGGTTAGGAGTATGGGTTCCAAGAATGAGAGGCTAGAGTACTGACTGATAGATAGTGGTAGGAATTTACCCTCTACCCCATTTCTAAGCAGCCCTATTCCAAGCTGGGAGCAGCTGCTCTGAGCCCCATGGAAGGAGGCAGGAAGGAGCTGCCAGTCACCACCTGTCACAGGACCTCGTGGGTGGCAGGAGGCAGTCCCCTCGTGCCCAGGTCCTGTCTCACAGGCTGAGGGCAGAGCCCAAAGCTGGGATAAAAGGGCTTCAGAGTCAGAGCACCTCCATACACTCCTCTCCTGAGGTGCTGACAGACCCAGTGCTGCCTGTGCACTGGTAAGTGTCCCCTGGGACTGAGAGCAGAGCCTTCCGCAGAGGGAGCTCAAACCAGAGCAGGAGGTGGGGCCTGGGGGGCAGAGCCTTTGCAGTGTGTGTGTGTGTGTGTGGGTGTGGTGGGTGGCAGTGAGAAGAAGATGAGGTTGGGTTCATATTAGCAAAGAACAAGTCGCAGGGACACTGAGGGAGGGGCAAGGAGCTAGGAAGGCTGGGAACATGAGTAGAAGGAACTGTGTGAGTGTGACAGTACACTAGAAAAAACAAACTGATCTGTAGTTGTTGGTCTCTGGTTGGAAGGATTTGCAACACTGACCACCATACCAACCCATAACTGTTGTCAACAGGGAGGTTTATCTTTGAAAGCATAACTGTCCCTCCAGGGAAAAGTAAAGATGGGAACAGTGACACTCAGCCAGCAGAGAGGAAATCACAACTGACTGACTTATTTTAAGCACTCAGACAAAAGGACTTCAGAGTTGAGTAGGAACAACTCAAATCTTGATGCTGAGGTGTTAGTTTGAGGGGAGCGTCTGCAAGATGCCAGGGCAGCGGGGCCCGGTCAGGGGCCCGGTGCAAGTCCCAGCTTACAGTAAATTATCTTCTCCCTCAGCTCATTCTTCCAGCCAATCTGCAATGTCCTTTGCGGGTGTGGACTTCTATGTCCCTACAGGACAAGGATATCTAGAAAGTTCTGCAAGAGGGAATGACTGTTTTCCCTAAAGAAACAATTTCATTTCTAAACTGTCACCTAGATTTACTATTTCCGTGATTTTTGCTGTAGAATATCTCCTCTAGATGTTTGATTTTGAGCACTTTTTCTTAACATATTTTGGCTTCAGTTCTCTAATTCTATAACAGATGAAGCACTCCAGAGATGATGTGAGGGCATTTGGGGAACTATTAGAAATAATGAAAGTCTCTCTGTTGAATTATCAAGGACTCCATTTAAACAGTTCATCAAATAAAGGCACTAGAAATGATGTTGAGGACAGGAAGGGGTGGGGCAGGGGGGCTCAGGGTCCTGGGTCTGACTCACTGTGTGACTCTCCCTCAGCTCCTGACCCTGCCAGCCGAGATGTCCTGCCAGCAGAACCAGCAGCAGTGCCAGCCCCCTCCCAAGTGTCCCGCGCCCAAGTGCCCCCCCAAGTGCCCCCCCAAGTGCCCCCCAGTCTCTTCCTGCTGCGGCTCCAGCTCTGGGGGCGGCGGCTGCTGCAGCTCTGGGGGCGGCGGCTGCTGCCTGAGCCACCACAGGCGACGCAGTTCCCACCGTCACAGACACCAGAGCCCTGGCTGCTGCAGCCAGCCCTCGGGGGGCTCCAGCTGCTGTGGAGGGGGCAGCGGTCAGTCGTCTGGAGGCTGCTGCTGAAGTGGACCCTGAGCCAAGGAGCGCAGGCTTGGGGACAGCGAGTGGCCAAAGCCCTCCTCCTGTTCCTGCTCCCCCTGCTGGGCCTGCCCAAGGGGCTGAGTTGTCTCAGTGAAGGTTCTGAGCTCTGGGCTGGTGGGTCCCTCTGCCCTGGGATTCAGAAGGCTGAATCCTCTCCCCTAATTCCATCTGCTGACCTCTGACACCAACTGTGTTATTTGCCCTGGGATCCCCAAACCACAGACTCTAATCCACGCCCCAGCTACTCTCCTTGCCTTCTGCTCCTCAAGTGAAACAATAAAACCAGAAATCTGCTTACCATCCTGTTCTAGACTCTTCCTGGCCTGCTTGCATCCCAGTATTTTATTTTTCCACCACTATGCATTCTCTTGCTGCCCAGAGATCTTGGAAATCAAATTTGTGCTAGTTGCATGGTTGGTGATGGGAGGAGGGGAGAGAAAATGGCTCTGCCTCGTACTCTGACACCATTTCTCAGACAAATACTTTGTAGCTCTTCTGGAACTTGAACTTGGACTTTCTTTGGGGTCCAAACAAGTCACAAGGGCAATGCATATTCCATTCCTCCCCTGGTCTCCTCCTCCTTCTCCATTGTGACATTGCCCCAACTCACCCTCAAATTTCTTTCTCCTTCAGCCAAAAAATTTATTTAGAAAATTATACATGAATTTTCTACAAATAGCCCACGAAACAAACATGATGTTTCTAACTAGAAACATCCATGTAGCATGCGGCAAAGATTATAAAAATTAAAAGGCCTATAAGGAATTAGGGAATTTTAAAAAATCGGTTACTTCTCCCCTTTCTCCCCTCAGTTTTTTCAGGTCAAATACTTCATCTCTATGTTCTCTAAAAAAAAAAAAATATTGATTTTCCTTTTTTTTTAAGATTTTATTTATTTTTTTATTTGCCAGAGGGAGAGAGCGCGCACAAGCAGGGGGAGCAGCAGGTAGAGGGAGAGAGAAGCAGGCTCCCCACTGAGCAAGGAGCCTGAGGTGGGGCTTGATCGCAGGACCCGGGGATCAAAACCTGAGCCGAAGGCAGACACTTAACCATCTGAGCCACCCAGGCGCCCCTGCTTTCCCTTTTAACAACAGCCCTGAAGCAGCACTAATTGTGATCATTGTTCTTTCATCTTTTGGTTCCCTTCAGATGTCTAACTCTGTCCCTTCTTCCTACCATTACCTCCTCACTCCAGGGATCCTGGTTAGTCTCCTTCAGCTTAAATATACATGCACACACACACACACACACACAAATGCATATATGCAATAAACCCTTATTAAGTTTTAGAATCATTTTATTACTGTATTAATTTACACAATAAAATTCACTAATTTTTAAATATACAATTCAATAACTTTTGCCGAATATATGCAGTTATGTAACCCTAAATGCAATCAATGCAATTTAAAATGTAGTTGGTGGCTAATCATTATTTGGAGAAAATTTAAAGAATAACACATAATCCAAAATTTATAAAGGGAAATGTGGATATATGAAATCGATGTGGTTAAATGTGGAAAAAATAAATTCTTAAATAGTAGAAAGCACTATTAAAAAGATATAAAGATTATTTGTCTTTCTCAGTGTGGTTTATTTTATCTAACATAATACCCTCTAGGTCCATCCATGTTGTGGTAAATAGCAAGTCTCATTCTTTTCTATGGCCAAATGATATTCCATTGTATGTGTATATGTATATATGTATATACATATATACCTCTTCATCTTTATCCATTCTATTGATGGACACTTAAGTTGCTGTCACATCTTGGCTATTGTCAAAAATGCTGTGATAAACATAGGGGTGCATACACATTTTTGAATTAGTCTTTTTATTTTCTTTGGGTGGAATTATTGAATCATATGGTATTTCTATTTTTAATTTTTTGAGGACTTTCCATACTGTTTTCCACAGTGACTCTACCAACTTATATTCCGTCCAACAGTGCATGAGGGCTCCTTTTTCTCCACATCAGCAGTGTTGCCAACGCTTTTTGTTTCCTGTGTTGTTGATTTTAGCCATTCTGACAGGTGTAAGGTGATATCTCATTGTGGTTTTGATTTGCATTTCCCTAATAGTGATGTTTTCATGTATCTGTTGGCCATCGTATGTCTTCTTTAGAAAAATGTCTGCTCATGTTCTCTGCCCATTTTTTAATCAGATTGGTTTTTTAATGTTGACTTGTACAAGTTTCTTATATATTTTGGATATTAACCCCTTATCAGATATATCATTTCTTCTCTTATATATCTTCTCTCATTCAGTGGGTTGCCTTTTTATTTTGTTGATTGTTTCCTTTTTTGTGCAAAAGCTTGATGTAGACACATCAGTATTTTTGCTTTTGTTTCCCTTGCCTTAGGAGATGGATCTAGGAGAATGTTGCTATGGCCAATGTCAGAGAAATTACTATCAGTGTTATCTTCTAGGATTTTTATGTTTTCTGGTCTCATATTTATGTCTTTAGCCAATTTTAAAAATATTTATTTATTTATTTTAGAGAGAGAGAGAGAGAGAGAGAGAGAGCATGCAAATGTGCAGAGGGGAGGGTCAGAGGGAGAGGGAGAGAGAAACTTCAGCAGACTTCACGCTTTGCTCTGAGCCCGACATGGGGCTTGCTCTCACGACTTTGAGATCAGGACCAGAGCCAAAACCAAGAGTCGGATGCTTAATGGACTGTGCCACCCAGGTACCCCTGTCTTTAGTCCATTTGGGGTTTGTTTTTGTGTGTGTTGTTAGAAAGTGGCCCAATTTCATTCTTTTATATGTAGCTGTTTGGTTTTCCCAGCACCATTTATTGAAGAGACTGTCTTTTTCCCATTGTACATTCTTGCCTCCTTTGTCGAAGATTAATTGACCATATAAGCTAGGGTTTATTTCTAGGCTCTCTATTCTGTTCCATGGATCTATGTGTCTGTTTTTGTGCCAGTCCCATACTGTTTTGACTACTACAGCTTTGTAGTGTATCTTGAAATTGGCAATTGTGATACTTCCAGCTTTGTTTTTCTTTCCCAAGGTTGCCTTGGTTATTTAGGGCTTTTGTGGTTCCCTAAAAATCTTAGGATTATTTGTTCTAGTTTTGTGAAAAATGCTGTTGGTGTTTTGATAGGGATTGTATTGAATCTATAGATCGCTTTGGGTAGTATGGATATTTTAACAGTAAAACTAATGTAACATTGCCCGATGTAAAGATATTTATCAACCAGCTATGCTCAAATAAATTTATTTATATATATAAAATAAACTATCCTCAAAATTTTAAAAATCCTTTAATACTTGGTAATAAATGAGTAATTTTGAATTATTACCACCATTAAAAAAAGATGGAAAGAAACAAAATTAATGTCATGAGAAACTCAAAGCTTTTCCTCTAAGATCAGGTATAATGCAAGGATGTCCCCTCTCACCATTCCTTTTCAACATAGTACTAGAAGTTTAGCTAATACAATAAGATAAGAAAAGTTAATTAAGGGAATACAGATTGGGAAGGAAGAAATAAACTGTTCTGTTTGCAGATTATTTGATAATCTATGTAGAAAATCTGAAAGAACCGACAAACAAACCTCCTGGCTCTAATAAGGAATTATAGCAAGACTGAAGGATACAAGGTTAATCCACAAGAATCAATCATTTTCCTATATACCGGTGAATAAGTGGAATTTGAAATTAAAAATACAATACCACTTACATTAGCACCACCCTATAATAAAATACTTAGGTATAAATCTGACAAAATATGTATAAGATCAATATGAAGAAAACTATAAACCTCTAATGAACAAAATCAAATAAGAACTACATAAATGGAGGGATGTTCCATGCTCATGGATAGGAAGAATCAATATTGTCAAGATGTCAGTTCTTCTCAACTTGATCTATAGATTCAATGCAGTCTCAGTCAAAATCCCACAAGTTATTTTTTGGGTATCAAGAAACTGATTATAAAATTCATATGATGAGGCAAAAGATCACAGTATAAAGGAGAAAAACAAAGTTGTGGGACTGACACTACCCAACTTTAAGACTTAGTATAAAGCTACATAATCAAGACAATTTGACATTAAGAAAATAATAGAAAATAGATAATAGATAGATGGAATAGAATAGAGAGGCCAGAAATAGACACCCATAAATATAGTCAATTGAGCTTTGACAAAAGAACAAAAGTAATACAATGAAACAAAGATAATCTTTTCAACAAGTAATGCTGGCTAAAGTGGCATCTACATTCAAAAAAAAATTAATCTAAACACAAACCTTATACCTTTCACTATAAAAATAAACTCACATGGATCACAGACCTAAATATAAAATGAAACATTATAAAACTCTGGGAAGATAACTATTGAAGAAGACCTAGACTAAGTTGGGTTTGGTGATGACTTTTTAAATACAACACCAAATACACACTACAGGAAAGAAATAAGTGATAAACTAGACTTGATTAAATTAAAAGCTTCTGGTCTGCAAAAGACAAAGTTAAGAGACTGATAAAACAAGTCACAAACTATCAGAAAATATTTGCAAAGGGCACATATGATGAAGGACTATTCAAAACATATAAATAACTCTTAAAACTCAACAATAAGAAAAAAAATAACTCAGCTAAAAAATGGACAAAAGACCTTAACAAATACCTCACCAATGAAGATATACAGATGACTAATAAATAGCATCTGAAAAGACACTCCACATGATATGTCATCAGGGGAAGGCAAATTAAAACAACAATGAGGGGGCGCCTGGGTGGCTCAGTTGGTTAAGCGACTGCCTTCGGCTCAGGTCATGATCCCAGGGTCCTGGGATCGAGTCCCACATCGGGCTCCCGGCTCAGCGGGGAGCCTGCTTCTCCCTCTGACCCTCTCCTCTCTCATGCTGTTTGTCTCTCGCTCGCTCTCTAATAAATAAATAAATAAAATCTTTAAAAAAATAAATAAAAAATAAAACAACAATGAGATGCCCCTATACACCTATTAGAATGGACAAAATCTGGAACACTGGCAACAGCAAATACGGATAAAGACACAGAGCAATAGGAACTCTCATTAATTGCGGATAGGAATACAAAATGGTATAGCCACTTTGGAAGATGGTTTGGTGGTTGCTTACAAAAGTAAATGCATTCTTACCATGCGATCAAGCAATCTTACGGTATTTAACCAAAGGAGTTGAAAACTTATGTATACACAAAGGCTGCACACAGATATTTAGAGCAGCTTTATTCGTAATTACCAAATCTTAGAAGGAACCAACATGCCCTTCAGGAGGTAAATGAATAAGTAAA